TCTCGCATTTCTAACGCCGTGGGAGAATGCAACCGTGGTGCGCCACGTCTCTCGACGCCTTCGAGACGTTGTGTTGGAGTCCAGCCATTGGAGTCACCTCGACCTTGCGGTAGAGCTTGCGCACGTGCGACTGGATCGCTACCTTCACTTGATCCTGCATATCAACACGCTTGAGGGGCCTGTCCGTAGCGTTGTGCAGTCTGTCAACTTGGCGTCACTGCCCGTGTCCGACCAGGATGTCCAAAATCTTGTCAAGCAATGTCCGCGCCTATGGCACGTGAATCTGGCCTACTGCCCACTGGTGTCGTACCAGCTTTTTTCACTGCTCCAAGCGTCGAGCGCATCGTCGTCTCTGTCGAGCCTCGACGTGTACATGACGCGCATCATGCACTGGGAGACTGCAGCGCTCACCAACGCGTTTGGTAACGTCGTCACCGTTGCGCCTTCTTGCTTGGTGCCTTTCCGAGCCGACATATGCACTGCCCCCCACACTAGCGGCGCCATCTTCTCCGTGCACGTGCTCGACACGGTTGGCATCCACGCCCGAGCCGACGCAAACGACGACGACTGGCACGCCAAGCTCTGCTATACCTGGCCGTACACATTGCTACCGGTGGTGCACCTGTCGGGCGAAGCCTACGTGTTTCCATCACCAGACGATATGGCACGCTGGCGACGCGACGCTGCAAAAGCAGCCCCCCCGATGGCCTTGGTGCCCCGAGCGCTCACGCCGCGACCAGAGAAAGCACTCGACCCCCTCGACGAGCAGGCAAAGGCCGTGTTTGCCTCGTTGCATGAATGGAAGACGTCGCTTGAAGCCCAAGTCGAGACGCTCACAGAAGCGCTCGTGCTTGCTCAGAAGGACCACGCTGTCGCCAAGCACGAGTATGATCTCGCCGAGCGGCAGCGCGCCGCCGTCGAGCGCGACGCCAACCGTGCTGTCCTTGCGCTGTCTCTGGGCCACGCCAGCGGTACGCATCCAAGCTTTTGAGCGACAGTAAATGAGGAGTGCGTAGCGACACCGCCGAAAAGTGGACACATTGTCCATTGCGATGGCGACGAATTGTTGCCGCCACTACCGCACGCCGCGGCGATCGCGTACGTTCACATACAGTCCACAAGAGGTGGTATCTTGGTGTAGGGATTTATCTCGTGCTCTGGACCAGCAACACTTTGCACTTTGCGACGACTTTCTGGGTCATGGTAGCGCGATGCAGCTCTACGACGCGGTCAACCAACTGCACGCGTCCCAAGACGGCCTCTGCTTTGAGCGCGGCGCACTTGCCGGTGGTAAAACGGGGCGCAATCTTCGATATGAAATGGCGTCGGTGCGTGGCGACGACGTGCTCTGGCTCGACGGCACCGAGCCCGCGTGTCCGCCTGCGATTGTGACAACGCTCCGTCAGCTGGATCGCCTTCTTCTTGAACGCCTTGCTGGTGTCAACGCGGAACTGCGCTCGTAAATCGCGTGACAACCTTCTGTGTGTTTTCGATGTATTGACATACTAGGTGTGCACTGCAGCGGCAGCGCGTCATGCTGACATGCTACCCCGGCCACGGCGCGGCGTACGTCAAGCATTGCGACAACCCGAACCGCAACGGGCGCAAGGTATTACACTGCGATTTCATGGCAGCGTGCGTATCCTGGATGCGCTAGCTCACAGCAATTCTGTACTTGAACCCTCTTTGGGACGAACGCGACGGCGGACAGCTTGTGCTGCACCGGACGCCACCGGCACGCATTAGCCCAGTCTTGGACCGGCTTTTAGTCTTCTTTTCCGACACGCGGGTGCCGCACGAAGTGCTGCCGTCGCACGCAAAGCGGTATTAGCCGACGCACATACGCAACCTTATGTTTGTGGTTAGGTTTGCACTCACCGTGTGGTACATGGACTGGGACGAGTTCATGGAGGCACAAGTCTTTACGGACACGGCCAACGAGACACACGAGCGGCACCACATTGAGGCTGAAATTGAGAAATTCCAGGGCAAATC